TGTCCCCTATGGAAAAGCCTGGGGTGCACACATCCTCCCTCCATGGGCTGGGTCCACCCTTCAGAATCTCCCTATGGAGAGGGGAAATTTCCTCCCTCCGTACCCACTTATCTTCTTGGCCTCCTGCTCCAACCTTAGGGCTTTTTTTCCTAAACAAAGACATTTTCCTCAACATGCCTCAAGCCTGTCAGTTTCCTTGAGCCCTCGCGCTCCCAAGCTCTGCAGGGATGGGCTGCAGCTACTCTGCCCATGAGGGGATGCTGCCTGGCCAGGGCAGGACGCTGGGCTCAGGGGGCTTCCAGCTCCAGGCTCAGCCTCCCTGTGTGCTGGGCACAGTGTGAGCAGGGCAGAGGCACCCCTGGTGCAAGGGCCTACCAACTGTGGGAGCTCCTGTGAACAGTTGCTGCAGCTGCCCCAGCCTGCCTGGGCCCTGGCCTTGCTTACCCGCAGCTCCTGTCTAGGGGCTGTGGCTGGGGCCAGGGCCAGGGCCAGGGCAGGCACTGCATAGGGCCACTGCGCTGCAGGCTCCTTGTTGACTTAACGCTGAGTGCCACCTGTGGTGGCTGTTCCCAGAGCCCGGGGAACTCCCACAGCTCAGGGGGCTCCTGCTGTGACCTAGGGGGCTCCGCTTTGCTCATGCTGTGCCCGGCATGCACAGAGGCCAAGTCAGGAGCCCCTCAAGCTCAGTGTCCTGTCCCAGCCAGGCAGCATGCCCTTGCAGGCAGGGTGGCTGCACCTCATCCCCATGGAGCTGCGTGGGCCAGACCAGGCCCTATCTCGGGGGACCACTGGGAACCCCCACTGCACCCAGAGTCTGCAGAGCCCCAGGACAGCCCCTGCTCCTTGCCTGGCCCCCCCTTTCCTCCAGCTGCCTCCTTTCCAAGGGCCTGACCAAGCCAGCCTGCCTGTGGTGCCTCCCGCACACCTGCTTCTCCCCATGCCTCTCTCCCTTTCTCTCCCTCTCCCCTCTCTCTTTCATCACAACATGCTTAACAAAAAAGAATATACAAGAATAAAGGTAGTATATGAAGTTTTATTTATTGTTACCTCCTGTAGAATTTTTAGAAAATCTGGTATTTACCATAAAAAGCAGCATTTATGATTATTAACTATATTAATATGCAGTGCATCCCACCCCAGTTGTGTTTTTCTGGTGTGCCAGCACTCTGGCACCCTATAAGGTAGGCATTGTGGTATTTTTGGCACTCTGGCAAAAATGTTGCCTACCCCTGGCATAGACATTCTTTATTCAAAAGCTTGTCTAACTCTATCCCAACTATGCAATTGGTCCAATAATGTATCACCCTAGGAAATTCTTGCCTCTTACATCATTCCTCGATAGTCATGGCTACAACATCACTCTAACACTACATTAACATTATTATTACTTACATTTATACCCCACCCTATCCAGAAAGGCTTAGCCTGGCTTACAATACCAGATAAACAATCCACACAATGGAAAACACCAACAGGCTCCCCAGTCAACAACATAAAACTCTGCTCCACTCCATCCATTTCCACCTCCTTGCCTAGTACCCAGGCACACAACTGTCCCCCTTGCAACAGCTGCCTGTATTCCCTGCTCTGCCTGGGTTCTTCTTCAGTCAGGTTAGTCTCTTCCTTTTGAATCTTACACATATTTTGGAACAGGCTCAAAACCCAGCTGGCCTTCTTTGTGGTCTGTTAGGCCTCCATCTATTTTTCCCCAGTCAGTTTTGAATCATGTCATCTGAGGCAAGTCACCATCTGGCCCAAGTACTTAAAGGAAAATGTTACCTAGGAGGGATGAAGTGCACATGTGTGTGTCAGTGTGTACAACACACGCTCCTCCCAATAGATGGGGACATTCTATGATGTGTTTGTCTCCTGTTATGCTTGAAGAACATTCAGTTAAGCCTTTTGTTCATAGAATAAAGATGGCTACTCTGTTGCACCAAGTCAGATCTAACTGGGATTAACAAACCCTGAGATGCACTAAAAGAATGACCTTTAATTATGTCTTGTGTGGTTGGCATGTGAAATTATGTGCTCAAGGGGGCATTCATCTCTCTGCAGAGAGCCAACAGAGTGCCTATATTCCATTAACATCCAACAGAATGAAACTGGACTTGCATGGTGCACAGAGTGTGTGCTGGCCTTCTGCCCACTGGCAGTTTTCATCCTTGGTGAAAACTACTTGTAATCTCACTTAGCCAAATCATTTTTGGAAATTTTTACTTCTGTATTTCTTCAGTGTTACAAAGGCTATAATAGGGAACTGCTAGTATAACTGGTGACTGGGGAAATGGAATGAATAATAGAAATGTGTCATTGTTTTCAGTTCCAACATTCAGCATGCTTGCTTTGAACCTTAACATGACACCCAGATAATAAAAGCAACAGCTGGTAGTTTATTTTATGGGCAGATGAATACAGAGGTGGCAATGACAAAGAAATTTCTAAATAAATCTCAAAGAGATTAGCATTACTGCAATCCATTGAGATCCAGTTCCCATGATCTCGCTGAAAAACCATCACTTGTATGATTAAGTTAATTTTACTATCCCCAAGGATTGTTTGTTTAATAATCCAAGTTTAAATGAGGAGGCGTGAATTAGGGAACCACCTGTGCACACTGATGTAGCCAAGCTGTTTCTGTCAGTTTTTAAAACAGACCTCCTTCGATGACTGTGCAGAAACTGCTTTAACTTCTCCTTAAAGACAGTTGTTGTTAGAGTGTAGAGAATTGGGTTCAACGCGCTGTTTATTGGCAGAATAAATATCACTATCCAGGAAGTGACTGTGTCTAGAAAAAACAAGATACAGAACTTCAGAAGCTATTCAGCATTTTCCTTTGTAGGAATTATGGAGAAGCAAAAGCATAACATATTGTAATCCCAACAGTTTTTGCAGTCTATAATTTTTAGAACTACACTGTAATATTATTTTTATATGAAGGGGAGTTGGATATTGTGGTCTCTATTAATCTACCACACTTTGTAATACAAAGAGACAACAAGACACAAACCTAAGTACTGTTTACGTGTGACAGTGTTATTTTGCATGTCATGGTCATATGTTCTGTCATATATTTACTTTCTATTTACTGATATAAAGACCCATAAAGCAAAACGATTAAACATGTGCTGAAGTCCAGCACATGATGTATTAAAAATACATCTTCTAGCTCTTATATGGCACTTTTATCAGTTGATTTCAAAATGGGATACAAAAGAGGTGAATCATAGAAAACTAGGGTTGGAAGAGACCTCAGGAGGTCATCTAGTCCAACCCTCTACTCAAAGCAGGCCCATCCCCAACTAGATCATCCCAGCCAAGGCTTTGTCTAGCCAGATCTTAAAAACCTCCAAGGATGGAGTTTCCACAATCTTTCTGGGTAACCTGTTCCAGTGCTTCACTACCATCCTCATAAGAATGTTTTCCCTAATATCTAATCTGAACTTCCCTTGCTGCAACTTGAAAGCATTGCTCCTTGTTCTGTCATCTGCCACCACTGAAAACAGTCTAGCTCCATCCTCTTTCAAACCCCTCTTTAGGTAGCTGAAGGTGAAGGCTGTGATTAAATCCCCTCTCAGTCTCCATACTAAATAAGCCCACTTCCCTCAGCCTCTCCTCATAAATTACGTGCCCCAGCCCCCTAACCATTTTCATTGCCCTCTGCTGGACTCTCTCCAATTTGTCCACATCCTTTCTGTAGTGGGGTGGGATACAGCCAAAACTGGACACAGTACTCCAGATGTTGCCTCACAACTGCCAAATAGAGGGGAATAATCACTTCTCTTGATCTGCTGGCACCACTCCTGCTAATGCAGCCCAGTATGCCATTAGCTTTCTTTGCAATAAAGGGACATTGTTGGTTCATATTCAGTTTATTGTCCATTCTAACCCCCAGGTCCTTTTCTGCAGTGCTGCTGCTTAGCCGATCAGTCCCCAGCTGTGATCTTATCAATAGACCATTTTTCAGATATGGAATGCAGCTCTGCAGTGGTGCAGGCCAGCAACTGATGGAATAGTAATGAGATCTCCTGAATCCCAGGCCAGTGGTCCAGCCACTGAGCTGAATGACCTGAACACCTACCTGAGAGTCAGTATTTTTTTACAGCACTTCATTTGTTAACAGGCTGTTCTCTTGGAATGCAAATATATTTCTGTATGATGAATGAAGCTAAACTAGGTCTCCTCACACAAGTGACAATCCTTTGGGTTTGTTTAATGCCTCTGTTGGCTGTGTGGTAAAAGTTATTTACAGTACTTAATTTTATGCAAAAGCTGTCAGTTTTCCAGAATTATAATGGAAAGACAAAAATGCTTATATTCAAGTATTATCTGAAAGTCATACAGTTGGGAACCTGTCAGCATATTCATTACAGGTCTAGACTTTGGACTGTCTAAACCCCACTCTTGCGCTGATTTCTGAGTATCATTTTGAGATTGTGCAGCCATTGCAGTAGAAGAGCTTGTACAGTTCTCGGTTCCACATGTGACTTTTGAGGGCGATACCAGTTTATTTTTCTCTGATTTCTGAATACAGCAGAAGCCAAGTATCAGGCTGGATGTTTTGATAAATATTTAAACCCTGTGAACAATCCTTGGGTCCTTTCTCAGATAAACTTCTTCATAATTAATGAGAATTTGGCCTGCAGAAGTACTGGGCAAAGATCACAGGGTCCAGCTTTATATGAATATTGAAACTTTAACAAAAGAAGAGCTAAGAAATCACATTATCAAAGAGCAAAGTTAAATTTACCTAGAATTTCCACTTGGAACAGAGAGAGGATTTTTATAACAAAAACAGGAATCCAGCAGATGGCATCAGTGAATACTATAAAAAAAAATCGATTGGCAACAGCAACATCCCTATGAATATGGCTCCTGACTTCTGATGTCTGAAGGGCAGTTTTTTTTATGGAATAAAACATACTGACATATGAAAACACTATTATGATGAAGGCAAGTAGGTTCACACCTTTTGGGGAAAAAAAGAGAAGATTCAAAACCAGCAAACTGAAAAGGACTTTTCCTGTCTCCCTTCCTTCACACAATTGTTATATTTCTTTTTCCTAACTAACTTTATTCCATATACTCTACATATTCCCCCTTTACATATAGATCTTAATGTTTAGAAACATATCTCAAACAGCTGTTATTTAGCTTTCATGCATACCGGGTGCTCCCCTCTGTTACACAGTGTGAAGTGAGCTGTAGTGTGAGTTACTATAGAAACAGATCATTAATGCACTGTATGAGTTCATGATTCCCACTAGCCTGATCCCCTGACTAGATAGGCTGCAGTAAGTCTGAAAGACAAAGTATCTTATAGAAGTGAATGTTAATGAAATAATGGCTTGCTTATTGTGGAAGAGCAAAACCCCACTAATACATATACTAACTAAAGCGACCAGCTATCCTGAATTTTCCAGGAGAGTCCTGAATTTTGAGGCTGTCCCAGCCTTCCTGAGGACTACCCGAAGTAGAATTGTCATCTTGAGTTTGAAAAATTGGTCCTAGATCAGCAGCAGGCAATGTCCTGTTTTATACAGTGAGGGGACAAAGTACAATACTGCCTGGTACAGGAAACAAAATGGTTGTGGGTTGGGAGGTAGCTGCAGTGTAGTCGTATTCACATGGTACTGCATGCAAATCTGCTAATTAGTTCTGCCTCACACTGTCTGAACTTATTAGCTCTGCTGAGAGGCAGAATTAAGTAACCTGGATGCAGTGCCATGTGAATGCAGCTATGCTTCTGCTCATGAGGTAGGTGTAGTCAAGAATCAGAATAGCTACATTCATGTGTTACTGCATCCAGGCTAACTAGCTCGCTCCTCAGCAGAGATACTTAGCCTGTCTGTTGCATAGCAATATGGTGGTTTTGATAATCAGAGCCAGAAGTGACATAACCATCTCCCACTTCCAGAGGTGTGTGGAAACATCTGGGACACTATCCCGGATCTTGCATCCTGAAAGCTGATTACATTGATGCTAGCCAATAGCTTTCTCAGCTCACTTCTGAAGTCCATCAGAAATGACTGCAAGAGCTGTCCCTAGGGGTGTGTGGGGCCCGGGGCATATCAGCCTATGCAGGGCCAGGGGGTAGGGGTGGCGACCACCTGCAGAAGCTGGCAGCAGTGTCAACGGCCGAGGGGGGGAGGGGTGGCTGCCCTCAGAAGCCGCTGGCAGGGGCGGGGAGGGGGGGGGGGGGGG